TAATTAAATAATTAAACAAATTAATAATTACATAAATAATTAAATAATTAAAATTATTTAAAAGTTCTGTTGTTTCCAACGCCCCTACCCCCAGGGCTCCCCCAGTCTGCTGCAGCCCCCCAAAATGCCTGCACTGACTTCCAGTGCCTGGGAGGGGGGAGGTCTGAAAAGGGGCCACCCTTGCACCCCAAAAATCATGGAGGGGCACAACAAACGTTTTGGAGGGGCTGCAGTTTTGGGGACCCTGCCCCAGTACGGGGTCACCCCACCCAGGGTGTTTTGGGAGGCCTCTTTGGGGGTTTTTTGGCTTGAGGGGCGGGAGATTTTGGAGTCCCCCCACATCCCCTAAACTGCCTGTAAATAAATACTGAGTCCAACATCCTTCTTATCGCTTTGGGGGCTCCATGGTGGGATTGCTGGGGGGTCTGTGCAGGGAGAAGAGTTGGACTGGAGGATCCTCGTGGATCCCTTCAGCTCAGAACATTTATGATTCCACAATTCCAGACATTCTCTGGTAGTGCCACTTAGGACCAAGGACTCCTGAAGCTTAAATTACCTCAGTTTGGGGCGTGGTTTTTCCCGACTTAATTTTTTTCACCCCCCAAGTTTTTCAGACTCCTTTGTCTGGGAAGAAAGTTGTCATGTCCGGGGCTTCTCAGGTGAGGGCCAGCAGTGCTGGGTGGTGACTCTTTGGAAAGGGATATTTGTGGGGGCAGCCCCTCAAAAGGACAAGTGCAGCCTCCTTCCCCTTGTAGGGTGAAGCCTGGCAGGTGCCAGGTGTGTATGTGGCCCTACAGCCACACACTGAGGTCACAGTGGGACATTCTGCCTCCCTTGGCAACACCCCAATGCCCACTTCCCTAGAACCAGGACTAGGAACAACCGTGGGGAGCTGTTCCCAGGATCTGGTGCCCCGGTTTGGGACCATGGTGAGATGGAGAGGAGGAGGAGAGTAGCTCGAGCACGAGGAGCTGCAGCCAAGACAGAGCCCTTTCCTGGCTCCCTCCTTGCACTGTCCCCAGACCTCGTGTATTTCTCCAAGGATGGTGAGGCCTTGAGGTCCCCTGAGGCCCAAGAGCCATGGGATAATCCCAGCTTTTCACAGGATCACAGAATATGCTGAGCTGGGAGGGACCCACAAGGATCATCCAGTCCAACTCCTGGCCCTGCCCAGACCCATCCCCATCCCCGAGTCCCACTCTGTGCCCCAGAGGATCATCCAAACCCTCCTGGAGCTCTGGCAGCCTTGGTGCTGTGCCCACTGCCCTGGGGAGCCTGGGCAGTGCCAACCACCCTCTGGGGGAAGAACCTCTTTCTAATCTCCAACCTGACCCTGCCCTGACCCAACTCCAGACCATTCCCTCAGTCCTGTCCCTGGTCCCCCCAGAGCAGAGCTCAGTCCCTGCCCCTGCCCAGGAAGCTGGAACTGCACTGAGGTCTCCCCTCAGTCCCCTCTTCTCCAGCTGAACACACCAAGTGCCCTCAGTGTCCTCACACGGCTTCAAATCAAGGCCCTTCCCCATCTGTGTTGCCTCCTTTGGACACTCTCCAATGGCTCAATATCTTCCCTCCATTGTGTCCCCCCAAACAGCCCCAATGTTGAGGTGAGGCCGCCCCAGGGCAGAGCAGAGCAGGACAATCCCCTCCCTGATGCCCCCAGGACAGGGTTGTCCCTCCTGGCTGCCAGGGCACTGCTGACTCAGGGACAACTGGGCACCCACCAGGACCCCCAGGGCCCTTTCCTGGCACTGCTCTCCAGCATCTGACTCCCCAGTTGCCCAAATGTGCCATTCCTGACTGTCTTCTCCTGGTATTCCCATCTGGTGTTTCCGCAGTCACTCAAACAGTCCCACTTGTGCCAATTTCAGGGTTTGAATTGCAGAATTCTTCACTGCAAGTTCAGAAAAGGTGACTCATTACCAGGGCCCTTCTGTGGACCTTGATTTTACTGCAAAATTAACAAAAAATATGTTTTTTAGAAAATCGACAAATATGAGGAAAGAGCAGATATGGGTTTTGGGGAATCAGAAAATACGTTGAATTAGAAAGAAAATTGCATTGCTTTTGTATATCCTTCATTAGACCATTCTTGATTTTAGAGGCTACACTGATTGAGAGGCTACTCCAGTCACCAGTAATAAATGTGTTGGTGGCTTTCCCCAGGAAGAGTCCCTGTGGAGAAGGGGATGTGAGGTTGGGAAGGCAAGGGGAAATGATGATCTTCATAACCTCAACGTGGCCCGCCCTTCTCTTTTTCCAACAGTAATCACTAAAATTTGGGACTGTGTGTCCGAGTGCTGCCGCCAAGACCTGCTGCTGAAGAAGGTGGGGTTGGTTTCCTCGTCCCCCCTCAGGTCATGGGGGTTTCTTGACTCTTCCCTGTCCTGCCTGGCCCTTGCTCATCCGGCTTAAGTGTCTCAGGCAGTTGGAGAGAGCAGACAAGCAGCACTTTAGCAGGAGAATGTTGGATTTCTTTTTTTTGGAGTCTTTTCCAGCACAGCTGGAAGGGAGGAACACCCAGTGGGAGAGCCCAGGCAGTGCTCTGACAATTCTCAGCTCTTGGCACTCCTTGGGCCTTCCCAGGCTCTGCGTGTCCTGCACACTGCAGGGAGCGAGGAACCCTCTGCGGTGCAAGGCTTTCCTGAGTGCTCCATCTCAGGCCTTGCATCTGGAAAGGCCACAGATCCCCCTCAGTGGAGTCCACACAAGCCTTTTCCCCTGTCTGCTCTCTGAAAAGTGCCTGGCCTTGCTTATCACCTGCCTTTGATTCCAGAGGGTCGGGCTGATGGGCCTGGGGACCATCCACATCATGAAAAAGCCCATCTGGCAGGGAAAACTGGAAGGTTTCTTGGTTGACAGTCCCGAGTTCGACCTGGACAAGCCATTCCTGGTGGGGAACAAGCTCCCTCATGGGAACAGTCTGGCGCCTGGTAAGATGAGCCCTGGACACTGCTGGGGCCCTGCCAGCAGCTCTGTGGCTCCTCCAGGGCACCCTAAATCCAAGGGGTGCTGGTACTGCTGGGCAGCTCTCTTGGAAGTGTTCCTGGCAGTCACTGCACGGGCCCACAGAGGCACGAGATGTACTGCTGGATCCTCGTCCGTGTGGTGGGAGGGTTGGTGGCTCTGGCGTGGCCGGTGATCCCGGGAGGGCCGAGCGGGTGATGTTGCCGTGGGGTGGTTTCTCCCCAGAGCTCTCCAAAGCCGACGAGCTGGTCTGTGCCGAGGTTGCCCTGCGCCTGCACGTGCCCAAGGCCACCGTCGTGATGTGCATCAAGGCCACCACGAGGGTCTTTGAGTGGGCCTTGTCCAGCAGGCAGAACTTCGACTTCGTGTTCAAGGACATCGGTGTCCTGGTGTGCCGAGGGGGGCACGTGGCCATGAGGTTCTTCGAGGGCCTGGCCCGGGAGGTGGCTCAGTCCGAGAACCTGGCAGACAGTTTGCTCCAGGTGGGTCTGCTACACCTTCCAACTCTTGGGCAGCTTCCCATGGTCCTGCTGACTGGGCCTGCCCTCCTGCCTCCAGAGGGTCCTGCCTGGAGGATGAGCTGTGCTGGGCTTGGAGACACCTTTTGGTGTCCCAAAAGGCCAAGGTGGTGGGGAGGCTGGTGGATGTGGACACAATGCAGGGGCAGAGGAGGAGGGTGGGGGAGAGGCAGCTGGGGTTGGGCTGGGGAGACAGAGAGGGAGCTGGGGTTGGGATGGCAGAGGGGCTATTGGGATTGGGGGTGACAGAGAGGGAGTTGGGGATGGGGTGGGGTAAAGGCAGCTGGGGTTGGGGTGACAGAAAGGTAGTTCGGTTGTGATGGTGGAGAGGGAGCCGGAATTGGGATGATGGAGAGGTAGTCGGGGTTGGGATGGAGGAGAGGCAGCTGAGATTGGGGTGACAGAGAGGCAGCTGGGGTTGGGTTTGAGGAGAGGTATTTGGGGTTGAGGAGACAGAGAGACAGCTGGGGTTGGGGTGAGAGAGAGGCAGCAGGGATTGGGCTTGAGGAGACACATTCGGAGTTGGGGTGGTGGAGAGGGAGCTGGGGTTGGGGAGACAAAGAGGCAGTTGGGGTTGGGGTGACAGAGGCAGCTGTGGTCGGGTTTGAGGTGAGGTTTCTGCCTGTTGAGCGGGGTAAATTCCCCGTGGATCCCTGCCATGTCTCTGTCCCTGTTGCAGTCACCAAACCTGAGGCAATCATTCATAGCCCGCACGGAAAAGGACATTTCCGAGCTGCCTCCTGGAGGTGTCTTGGTGTTGCCACAGTGAGTCCCTTTTTTCCTGTTCCAGGGGTGTGTTCCCTCCTGGCTGGGCAGTGTCCCAGCCCCTCCCTGCTGAGCTGCCCTGGGTGCTACTGCTGCTGGTCTCCTCCTGAGGTTGGGTGGGAAGAACTCTGCCCAGGGAATGCTTTTGTGCAAAGCCCAGGGCCATTCTGGCTTCTTTGGGAAGTGCCTCCAGGTGGATTCCCTGGCAAGAAGGCCCGTTTTGCCTTCCCACCTGCGTGGGAACTGCCCTGGAGATGCAGTTGGGGGCCATGGTGCAGAACTCCACCATCTCCTTCCCTTTCCTTGGAGTGAGACTGAGAACCAAGAGGCCGCAGAGCCCGGGATATTCTCAGGTCCCAGAGCCCGGGATGCTCCCAGTCAATGTGTGTTTGCTTCCCTTGGAAAGCACCTCTGACAAGGGGTATCCCAGACTTGCCTGAGAGGAGCCCTATGGATGGAGGCTCCAGGGAAATGTTTTACCACTCCTCCTACTGTGTCTCATTTAGAAAACTGGATGGCCGGGAACAGCTCCTTCCCAGGGGCTGCCATGGGCTCTGCTACATCCATTCCAACTGAGGTCTCCACATTCTTTCCAGCTTTGTGCAGGTGGATGGGAAGTCAAAGCCACATCCTGTGAATGCTTCCCTGCAGAGCACTGGAACAACGAGCGCTGAGCACCAGCTGACTCCGGGTACATCCCCCCCCAGAACTGACCTCCTCCATGCTCAAGGGAATCCCCTCTCCAGCCTAAAAGCTGTCCCAGCAGGTCACCCTTTTTCTACATGGGGCCCCAAGGCAGCAGTGGGGCAGCTCCAGGGAGTAGCACGGCCCTCAGGGAAGGGGAGTGAGTTGGGACAGGAGGGCTGGCACATCCTTCATGTCCAAAGTGTTCCAGAGGTGCAGCTGAGAGGAGCTTCCTCTTTGCCTTCCCCAGGGAATGTTCCTGGCCAGCGCCTTCTTTCTCGCCCACGTGTTTCTCCGAGTCGGATAAGGGATGTGGAGGTGGCGGGAAGGGAAAAGAGAAAGGCTGATGCTGGAGGGCAGAGAGGGAGGTGAGTCCTGGAGAGTGGCTCTAGGGAATGCCAAGTGCCACGTGCTCCTGGGCGGATGTGAGGAGCTGCCACCTTTGGCCACTGTGCCTGGACTCAGCCAGGGCAGATCCCAGCATGGGCACAAGGACTTGGCTCTTCATAGAATCACAGAATCATAGAATCAGCTGGGTTGGAAGGGACCTCCGAGATCATCAAGTCCAAGCCTTGATCCAACCCCG